ATAATATTTACTCACTCTGACTCAACTAACTACCGGCCAGTCTTCCTAACTGATATCGGCCGCAAACTACTTGAGCACAATGTTTCATCTGCAGTCATGCACTACGCTAGAGAAAATTACTTCCCTTTTGTGCCAATATGATTCACCGAGTGGCTGGTCTCACAAGACACAATTATTTGTGTTAATTACACCAGTATTTTTCTACGCCAAGGCTCGAGAAACCTTTCCCGGCAGAGGGCCAAGCTGCAAGATGATAGTGCAGCGGAGCGCCTGATAAAAATCGGGAGGAGTGCGCAAAGACCTTGGAAGGCTCTCCACGCAAACAAGAAAAATTCGGCTAATCGACATTACTTAACAAAACAGTGTCATAATGCTAACAGGAACGATGCTGACAGGGAAGATAACTCGCAGAACAATCTAAACACAAATGTTGCCAGGTCTACCCGATAGAAGTCACATAATCAAAGATAAGACTCTCTCATTCACTACAGAATTAAGCCTAACAACTAATCGCTGAACATTGAATATTAAGACAATTAAAAATCCATCTAACATAAGGTATCTGAGAGTAAGAGTTCATTTATCTTCTGATATATCATGGACCTTACACCTTGAGGCTATCATAGCGCTTGTAAGACGCTGAGAGGTTAATCAGGCGCAACACGCGTTTCGATAATTGTGCTACTATAATGATAGCATGCAATACACTTCTCCGCTCTAAACTTAATTATGTTAAGGAAACATCTAGAGATCTCGTTAGCCATCTCATGAATAAACTTGAATTTCTTCATTCTCTGCAGCCCCGCCGCGGTGGTCTAGTGGCTAAGGTACTCGGCTGCTGACCCGCAGGGCGCGGGCTCGAATCCCGGCTGCGGCGGCTGCATTTCCGATGGAGGCGGAAATGTTGTAGGCCCGTGTGCTCAGATTTGGGTGCACGTTAAAGAACCCCAGGTGGTCTAAATTTCCGGAGCCCTCCACTACGGCGTCTCTCATAATCATATAGTGGTTTTGGGACGTTAAACCCCACATATCAGTCAATCAATCATTCTCTGCAATCGCAGACAGTGCTGTCACTTCGCCCGCCTCCGTGGAACAGTGGCTAGGGTGCTCGGCTGCTAACCCGAAGGTCGTGGGTTCGATTCTGGCTGTGGCGGTCACGTACGATTCGACGACGGCGAAATGGTGGAGGTCCGTGTACTGAGCTTTGTAAGGTGCGCGTTAAACAACACCAGCGGGTCGAAATTTCCGAAGCCCTCCACTATGGCGCTCTCATAATCATGTCGTGGTTTTGGGAAGCAAAACGCCAGATATTATTTTGCGGTCACTTGTGTATTATTCGAGAGTTACCAGCCGTACCTATTTTTTGTTTGTCTTTCTTTTTGTATTTTTTTATTATATCAAGACCTAACAAATACACGCTGCTTCTACTGCCCAATCTTGCAGCATCGCAAGGCGGCTGATGGACTATTCGATGACGAAAACATTCCAGGTAGGCAAGGCACATTTTTTTTTTTTTATTACGCCCAAATACATTTTAGAAAACGTGCTTTCAGGTGCCCGCATATAGTGCAAGCTCTTCATATACGATTAAAACGTGGCAGATGCTTCAGCGGTAGACTGTCACATGTGCTTATTCCGGTGTGAAATTAAATGATGCTCACATATGCATGTTACCCGCGTAAAGTGAAACTCCTTCTTGATATGCAACTGCGCATGAGCAATTAAAATGAAGATTGGAGCATCACCGGTAAATAGTTACCCTCAAACCTTAAGGCATGAAATTGCACGATGCTCTTTTGAAGTCATTATTGTGTGTGTGTGTGGGGTGTGGGGTGGGGGGGGGGGTGTGGGGGGGGGTGTTCACAGTTCATTAAAGTACCGTGCAGTGTGTCGGAATGAAGCGAAAACCGAAAACGAAAAAAATAAAAAACAATGTTTTTAACCGATAATAGTTGCTGTGATGGTAGGTTACTCGTCATATTGTAGTAACTTTGGCGCAACTTTCTACCACACACGACGTCGTGTGTGTGTGTCTTGTGGAAGAGTGTGCGAATGTGTGAGTGTTTCGTGAGAGTGCATAGTTGCGCCAAATATATTGCAATATTTTTGATCGGAACGGAAACGCATTTCAAACGTTGCCTATTATTCGTTCTGGAGGGAAACCGGATTTTTTTTTAATAGCTTTTTGGTTCACAGAACAGCTTGGTGATCCAAAACTACCGAGTTCTTGCGACTACCGAGTTCATTCACAATGCAGTTATAGCGCGTTTTTCAGGCGAGGGTTCTTAAGTTTTAAAGATGCGATGACATTGTGGGAAAATCGAGAACAGCGGCGACGAGAGCTGCGTATATCAATATTAGTGGACATTCGTCTGTCACGCTGACCACTGTGAAGAGGGCATTCGCAGCGCTGGTTTATATTTTATCAGAACAGTAGTCCCACACATTAGAGTGCGATGATGATGATGATGATCATCATCATCATGATGATGATGTGCTGCTTTTGAGATATAATGATCACTTCCTTGACAAAAAAACGATTAGCCTGCTCAAAAAAAGTCGTCGCGGACTTGAGAAAACAAATACTTTGAACAATACTGGTTCGTGCTACTTAATATAAATTTGTTGCACAGTTATACATCTGATTCTTCGAAGAATGCGTTTTACCGTGTCCAACTTTCCTAAGAGGCTATCGTTAGTATAACTTCAAATTTTGCATACAAATAAAAACTGTTACGTACCGTTACACAACATTTTTTTTTACGTTCCGGAACAAAAAAGTTTGAAGCTTTTTGTGATTAGATGAAACTAAAACCAAAACAAAAGGCATTTCGTTCTGACACCCTGGTTACATGTGAAGTCAATCTCTTTCATTTTGATAGACTAGTGAGCGTGTAGAGAAAACATGGCGATAATCTACAACTGAAAAACGTGAAGGCGGGCACTATTAGCTGCTGATCCGTGATCACAAAGTCTTTCACAGATAGCAATATCACTGAGCTGTAGCAGAGTTCATCGATTAAAGCACTCATGGTCTGAAATTAAAAACAAAAAGTGCGTTATACTCTTTCTGTGTTTCCTGTCTTTTGAGCACAATTATTGACGTCATCAGCCAGTTCACGTGTTGTCGCAGGGAAACAAGCTGTCGATTGGTTCGATAAGTATCAGTTAGGAAATTCCTCTAATAATTTGATTTGCCACTCAGTCTCACGCCCACTTTGCCTCACCTTGCATCACGAGTATCGTGCGCGTTCAACTGGTTTCCCTGCTTTTATTTTTTTTTTTGAAGACGATAGTCTTTCTTGGGTATACCTTCGCCGCCAAAAGTTTGGTCTGTCTGTCTGTGCAATTGTCTGTTTGTCCGCGGTAACGATCCCTTTCATGGCACCAAAGTGATCAAACGATACATCAAACGAAAATATTGCTCAAGTTTCAGTGTTCATACTTGTGTGAGTGTGAATTAAAAAGCAATTATTTCGCATATCTGAGACACCATAACAACACGTCGATGTTTTGTATGTGTGCCTTTAAACGAGAGAAGGTAACACACAAGTGATTCTAAGGACCGTAGCGTTTATCACACTGCGCTGACAGTGCAACGCAATGCTCAAAAGGGCAAGTGTTTTCAACGCTTTGCTAAGACGACACGGTGGTGGCACTTGCCCGTCACATTGCGTACTACTCCTTGTCGCCTCCGAGACAGGCACGCATCTTTCTCCGCGGGCCTGCGGAGAAAGATGCTTAGTTTTCGAAGATAACTGCCAGATGGCGCTCGTGTCTAACGTGCGTCGATGCGGTCACTAGCCTTCGTTGCATGGATCGAGAGTCCCTAACGCAGTGCTTCCAGAATACAATTCACCAATTTTCTCGCGCAGAACATCAAGTAAATGTTTTGTTCACTCTTTCCACGCGCAAGACTATCGTCTTTTGACGACATTTGCAGTGACACATGCAGATACGGGGCATTTTTTTTTCTTGGCTTTCGTCTGTGCAAGTTGAGATAACAACTATACGAGAAAAGTGTGGAATTCTAATGCGTCCGAGGCTTAGCCCTTACACTGACCACGTATTTTAAGAAAAAAAAAAGGAAGAGGAATAAATAGCATTGTTAGGAAGAATAGTGAGTGCGAGAAAGAAACCATACATTTTTCGTCAAACTGAAAGTGGTTTAGGGTTTTTTTATGCTTAGTACGTTCGTGGCATATAGGCTGGAACTCTTCTGTAATCTATAAGAAATGTTTCACGAATTCCGTTTTGAATGGATTTATGTGTCATCGCTTTTTTTTTTTCAGTTCATGAAGTTTGGATAGTGGCCCTCAGCAGCAGCGACTTCCAAGCAAAAATATTTTTTTGTTTCGTTTTTGCGCTTTTGCAGTGGAAGCTTTGTACTACGAAACCATCCAGCCGACGGTCGATTCGGAAAGACACACGCAACAATCCATCCCCAGTGAGTTAAAACTAATGATGATTGTGGTCATGGTGCTTCTTCTGATACGGCTCGTACCCACATTGTGGGGATGGGCTAAACATTGTTCATGTGAAATGATAATTATTTGTTCTATCAACTCATGGATATGCGTAGATTTTTTTTCACTTATGAAGATGCGCGTATTTTTGCATTAATGACGCGTTACTAGTACAGTTTAACGATATCGCAATATTTCTTTCGTCTTTCTTGCATAAAGGGCGCAAAGCTGCTGCCATCAGTGGAACTAATAATACAACTAATTCGCCAGTAAGGCCAAGCTTTTGCTAAAGATGACAAGATTTTGCTAATAGCACCAGAACCCTTCAAAATATTGAAGAACTCTGGTAGCACAGAGTACGGCTACACTTGGCTAGACCTGGCTATACATGTCACGTGGCTACCAGTTGCGGGATGTTGCCACTTTAGTCGCACCACGAGCCGTCACGTGGTTTTTGGCGGGAACGTGTCTTGCATTAGCTGTTGCGGGATGTTGCGTTGTTTCATTCCCGCAGAGGGAAAGAAGAGGCGTACCATGCGTCGTGCAAGCGAAGCTGAAGAGGGCGCAGCGAGCGCGTGCTGGTTCGTGACGATCAAGTGCAAGCCCAAACAGGGTCAAGCCGCTTGGGGCGCCGCTATCGGTAGTCCGTTATCTGCCGTCGTTTTAAAAGTTGCGCGTGGCTGCACCGAAACATTGCATAATTAGAATTCCCCGCTTTCTACTCGATAGGTTCGGGATCGAATCGCACCTCTATCGCACTTGCTTGAACTTGGTTGGAACGCCGTAGCATTTAGCTGAAGCACAGCAACGACCTAGTAGCAATCTAGAAACAACCTCATCACCTGGCTAAGGCCTAGAAGTACCCTAGAAGCAACCACATTAGTGCTCACAATCATTCCGTTTCGTTGTGTCAAGGTTTGCGTGGCTTGGTGCTTAACGCAAGCTGCCTTTTTTCTTTCTTTTTTTTTCGCTAGATATACGTTCGTTGCATACAACACCTTCACCTTTCATTCGCGCCAGAAGAGTCGCTTCATATCTCGCGCCATGGTTTTCAGAAAATCGGTCGGGCTATATAAGGGAAAAAATTTCATTCCACCAATTCAGATGTTGTTGATACCAATAGCGACAGCAAAGACCATGGAGTTACTGCAACTGAAAATATTTTCGGAATCCGGTAAACATTGCCAAAGCCATCTTGCTTCGGAATTTCTCGTAAGAAAAAACGTTCAACCAGTATCGATGCTGGTCGCATCGTCGACGAATCCTGTTGACTAATTTCAGTGAGGTGAATCCAGCCTGAGTTCCGCGGTTCTGGTGACATTGTGTTCATTTAAATACAACCCGATGATGTTGCCACGTGGCCACATCTTACCCTTTCTTTTCTCCAGGCGAGGGTTCGTTCTACGAGAGCATCAAGCCGGCCGGAAAATCCACCAAAGGCAAGCAGCACTTCATCCACAGTAAGTTCGTTCGATAATCTTGTCCGCAGTGCCGATAACTAACGCTTTCGTTGTGTAGCTTGACAGAAAACACAGCGCTTCGGTCAGGAGAGCGAGAGAGCAATCTTATTTACAAGGTAGCCAGGAATGGGCGTCCTTAATGATTATTCCCAGATTCCTTGACCTCGGGCTGCGTCCTGGGCCCTCGCGACACACCTTTGTTGATCGTCGAAGTCGGAGGCTACTGCGGGTCACTACTCTTTCCCAAAGCTCGTAGTCGCACTGCTCGTATTTGTGGTAAAAGTGAGACAAACATTGGGGAGGGGTTTGGGCGGGGAAGGTGTCAGTAGCGATTTTAGGCAGCCTCCTACCCCATGTGTGGCAGCTTGGGCTGGTTGGTATGGCATGACCCATGTTGGAGAGACCAGGGTTTCTCTTGCTGAAGCGGTGTCGCGGGGAAAACTGAGTAATAGGGCTGTGGGCTTGGATGTGGGATGCATGCTCATTGCTCATACTGTTGTAAGACGGTAAGTTGGGCCAGTTGGTTAGGATTGATCGTGAACTTACTTACAGTGCAACACCAGAAAAAATACAGGACAGGGAAGAAGTAGAACAGAAAGAAAAGACGGTGCTGTCTTTTCTTTCTGTTCTACTCCTTCCCTGTCCTGTATTTTTTCTGGTGTTGCGCTGTAAGTAAGTTCACGATGCTCATACTGTTATTTCAGTATGATAATGTGTTGACCAGTAAATCCCGGAGTAATCTCTCCGTATCTCTAAGTTGTGGCATGTCTACGGCAGGGTATATTGTATTCACAACTGCAAAAGGGACAGCAGAAGACATGTCGAAGTGTTTACTCTACCCTCTATCCGCACATATCTCGCGCCGGCGTTTCGTAAATAGCCGGAGCGGGCGACGCTGCGCGAACATCTGCGGCTGGTGTATTTGCTACGACAGATCAGCGTCCGCGTATTTCGGACCATCTGCGCAGTCACGCATCGGAAAAGGCCCCGTGGGTCGTATTTTACGAATGTAAGCGGCCGTGGATGTTTACGATGTCGGCGTGAAAGCCACACAGCTCACACCGAATTCGACGCCGTTATTGCGTTGTTACAGGAAGTTAGCCCTATTTTTTTTCTCTCTCTTCGCACCCCTCAGCCGTGACATCAATATCAAGTTCCGCGAATGACCCTTACAGCACAAGCACGCAGAACACGACACAATTAAGGTTGTAGTTTTTTTTTTCGTCCTCAGAGAGTGGATGACAATGACAACTTTCGAGTATAGGCGCCCGCAAAGTTTTGGGGACTTGAAGAAATATCTCAGCGGCCACCGCACGTGCACGAGACACAATCAGCGTTTGGACTTTGCGTTGTGGCCGCTATTGCTCGAATTCAGCGGAAGCCCCTATAAGCGTGGCCCAAACGATTTGCGTCGAACAAACGCGGCTGCTCCCACTGAAGCGACAGCCCTGGGTGAAGACCAAACTTACTTCATTTCTCATAAACAGAGGAGCGTGAAAATACGGCGCACTGGGAAAAGGATACAGGACAGAAAGAAGGACAAGAAGCATCATTCACCCCTCTCTTGGTTTGCAGGAGTGGGAGAGAATTTTTCCAGAACGTCACTTGACGTTGGTATGCTGAGCGTAATATTTTGCGTCTTTTATCGGCTCGCTGGATATCATATACTTGCATGGGGATTTAAACCTTTAAAAACTGGCGGACCCTTAAGCTTCGCCTTTTTAGAGTTGAACGCGATAGCGAAATAAGGCCAATAGTGCACCCTTCAACTGCTAAGTGCATGCTTCTTCATATGTTTTGTTACATACACACGCACGCACACAAACACGCACGTAGTAGATTGCATCAGCGCGCGCTATCATCGCCAAATAGGCTCGTTTTAGTCGTGGCACCTGTCGAACACAATGCGTTAAAGGGGCCCTGAAACACTTTTTCAAGTACCCATGGAATGAATTCACTAGAAGAGCTTATTGCCTCACGAATTCAACGCCGCAAAAGTTTTAAGAATCCATCCAGTGCGAGTGGAGTTACAAAGGTTTGTCGCATGCGGCAGTTGCATTATATCTTCTCTCTTCCCGACGAAAGCGCCGGAAGCTAAGTAGGGAGGGGTGGCAGGGCAAATAAACTACCGCGCCTCGTGACCTTGAGCACTTTTCGAATGCGCGGCTTCTTAATGTGATCACGCGCGCATGCGTGGACAAGTAGCGGCCTCCCGCGGCTATCTCGGTAACTTGATCTTTAGGCCACAGACGCACAGACGATTTTTCCCTCACAACCAACGGGGCCGACGCCGGCGCCGGGTTTTCTGTTGCACGAGCTCTTTAACGCTCTCGCGTTAATATAAATATTTATGTTTCTAGTAGCGCGGCGTCTGTGTCCTTCTTTCTTCGTGTGCCGTATTTTAGTGCCCCTCTGCTTCTCATCAACCAACACCTAGCGCCCAACTTTTTACTTTGCTCATTTCGGAGCAAGGGATGTCATTATGAATTCAGAAATGCTGGCATAGGCTATCGCTTTCCCATATATCGTGCATACAACAAAGGTTTGCGGGAAAGTAGTCCGCGTTTTCAACAGCAGTTGTCGACTCGAGAGCTCGTTAAATGACAGCTTCCTAGGAGGCTCCGGTTTAACGCAGGGAGGGTGGCTAAGGGTTAGATTGTCTTCGCTGATGACGGTGAGCCCTCTCGTTGTTCAAATGCGATCGAGTAATGTCAGTATGGCTTGTGGAAACGACAGAGAAAGAGAAAAATAAATGAAAGTGTAAAAAAAAAAAAGACAGACACACACGCATGGACATACACGTAGGACGTTCAGATCAAAGTCGTTCTGAGAGGTCACTTGCACAGCCTTCTTTTGAGACGTTAGGTCTGGTCGATAGTGCAGGACTCGTTCTTCCGAAAGAGTTTGGTCGTCTAGTTTATCCAATTATTGCAAAGCGTCTGTCTCTGTAAACAGTTCGTGTTTGAAGAGGCATGTAAGGCTTTTTCAATGGGCCCTGGAACACTTTTTGAGCATGGTCAGAAAACGCTGGCGATCGGTAGTAGAGGCTCCCGACAACACGCGAGCCAAATATTATAGAGCAGCACGTGGCCTGTGATTCACAATAAATTATCAAAGTCAGCAAAAAATTGCTTTCTCTTCTCTTGACAAACCACGCAATATACCCAAAAATCACACGTAGCAAGCCCATCTATCAGCCATTGGCTGATTTGAACATGGCGCGCTCACTTGTTACAGAGATCGCCGCGGGAGGCCGCCACTTGTCCACGTGTGGGCGCGTGGTCATATTGAAATAGGCGCGCATTCGAAGAAAAAAAAAAGAAAAAAAGTGCTCAAGTTCACGGAGTTCGCGTGACGTTTCTCTGTGGCCCTGCCATCCCTCCGTGCTTAGCTACCAGCGCATTCATCGGGACGAGAAAAGACAGAATGCGGTTGCAGCGGGTGACAAATCTTTGTAACTCCGCTCGTATTAGACGGATTCTTAAAATTTTTGCGGTGTTGAAATCGTGAGGCAATAAGATCTTCCAGTGAAATCATTCCATGGTTACTTAAAAAAGTGTTTCAGGGTCCGTTTAACATAAGTTCGTGAGAATGCCCACTCTATTTTTTTAGCGTATACTTAAACCAGCCATTCTTTTACTATACATCGCAAGAGTGGTCTTTTTTTTTTGTCATTCGATTCAATGCTCACAGCTTTGTTTTACACGGGCATTTTATTGTCTTAACGGCTTGCAGCGCTTTTCATGAGGCCTCCGCCGACATTGCCGCCGCCGCTGTGGAGACCGCCGCACCACAGGGACGCGGTGATCTTGCCCTACCTCCCGCTCGTGAGAGGACACAACCGCGCTCCCTGGAGGCAGACGGGACCCCTAAGCCGAGGCTTCCGGAACAAACTCGGAGTAGGTGCACTCACCGGACTGTACGACGACGGTACTCTTAACGATGCACCGAGGGCAACCAGGCCAATCCTGCCGCTGTCGGGGTCGGGTAAGTACGGCGTCCCTGTATACTTCATTCGCTGTAGTCAGCAGTCACATACGTCGACGTTCAAGAGCCGGATACCGTACCCTGAAACGCTCTCTCCACTCCAAGCTTCTTTTTTTTTTAACATTGATGATAGATAAAACCGCCACCCTCGACAGAAGCCGTTACTTCCGCCTAATGGAGAGATGACGTAACCCTTAGCAGTCATACTGTTACCATTCAATCGGAGAGTGGCTCTGTGCCTAATATGGTCGTGGTTCGTTTTTATTGAGTGGTTGGGACAAATGTGAGAAGCTAAGAGCTGGGACGAGGTTGATATATGAAGGGTCGTTACAGTTAGCAGAGGTCACTGTAACAAAAGAGCCTTGTAAGAAGACAAATAATAATCTGAAAGATATAGGACACTAGACCAAAATGCACCTGATTATAAGGGACGGCTAGAGGTGGTCACATGTCATCATCACGTTTCAAAAGAGGTGCCGCCGAAGACCGTCATATTAATCACAAATCATCTTGAGTGAATGGAAAACTACGAGTCGTTGATGGCTGGTTAACACCCAAGAAAACTGTAGTTTCGCCGTGAAGCATAATCGTACGTTTTTATAAGATGATAAACTTTATTTCCTACACAAAAAAAGAAAACGTTTTAAAGACTGTTTTGCTGTGCCATTGCGGGCACAGCCCCGCTGCCAAGTGGCATAGCAAGGGGATGACTTTAATGGTTCATCTTTGCCCCGCCTCCTCTAAATTTTTTTTTACATTTTTTCATATGTATGTGCTCGACAATATGCAAACACACGCACGAACGTCTATCAATGGTGGCGGGGGGGGGGGGGGGGGGGGGGGTTGTTGTCTCCCCCTGGAAAGTATTGTGGCTGAACTTGTCGATTTCCCATCCCCGAACTAGGTACGTACGTAACAGTTTACGCGCTGAGTGAGTTCAAGCGCGTAAACAAGCGCCGTGGTGGTGGTAGAATGTAACTTAGTGTGAACAGAGAAATGATAACACAGCTGCTTTTTATGCACTTGCAACATAATGAAGATACAGGCATTTTGTAGTGTAAACACACTTTTTTATGTTTTGATGTTAAGCAGTTTATTTATTCAATGTTGCAGTGCATATATTTCTGTGTACGCATGATTATTAGTTTTTTTTCAGCCAATATTACTTGATTCTTTGAGGATGTATGGTCTTCACGACACTTTTTTTGTTTTTATTTGTCCTTGTTTTCTGATCGAGACATGACGGATTGTTATACAAACCACCATCGTTTAGCTTTCAGAAGCATCAGTGGCTCACATCATCTGCAGTGCAGCCTCTATAGAACAATATATTAGGTTGGGCTGTGCGAAATATACGTTCTCATATTTCTGGGCTCTATCCTAAAATATAAGCATCCCATCACTTTTAAATTGCTTAACCATACAAGAATTTTGACTTGGCACCTAACAACTTAACTTAACTCAGTGCAAGATTTTTAAATATGTAAGAGTATCTAGCGATTCGTCTGGCACCCATCATATTAAACAACTGATTAACTACAACCACTTACCTCGTTATCTACGCCGTAACTTAGCATCATCATCTCCTGCAGTCGGACTATCACCATACAAAATGTAAGCCCGATTTAAACTAGAAAATGCCTACACTATATAGGACTACGAGGTATCTTCTGACGGGGAAGGTACCAGAATCTTGGAAGAATGCTAACATCATCTTAATTCGTGAGAAAGGGGACGACAAGGACTTGAAGTGTTACAGGCTGATCAGCTTTCTCTCTGTAGTATACAAGCTCTTTGGAGGGTAGTTGCTAACAGAATTAAGACAACGTTTTAATGAAATCAACCAAAGGATCAAGCATGATTTCGAACAGGCTATTCAACAATCCACCACATTTATGTGATGGAGAAATGCTAAGAACACACCCAACCACTATATATACATAGCCTTTATAGATTGCGAGAAGGCATCTGATTCAGTAAAGATATCAGCAGTCATGCATACACTGTGGAAACAAGGTGTCGACGAAGCATATATAAACATCCTGGAAGAAATCTACAGAGAGCCAACTGTCATCATAGTGCTCCATGAAGAAAGCGACAGAATACCAATCAAGAAGGATGTAAGGCAGGGGGACACATTCTCCCCAATGCTATTTACCGCGTGCTTACAGAACATTTTCAAAGGCCTAAAAACGGGAAGACGGGAAGAGTTACGGATAAGAGTTAATGGAGAGTACCTTACTAACCTGGGCTTTGTCGATAACATTGCATACCTGAGTAACTTAAGGAACGAAGTACAATTATTGATTACTGAACAGAGATCTTAAAATTAATCTGAGGCCTTACAATTAATTTGCAGAAAGCTAAAGTAATGTAGAACATCCTCGGAAGAGAACAGCGCTTCGAGGTAGGTAGCAGTGCACTTGAAGTTGTAAACGAGTACGTCTGCTTGGGACAGACAGTAACCGAGGAGCCGAACCACGAGATTGAAGTAACTAGAAGAATAAGAATGGGGTGGAGCACATTCGGCAAGCAGGCTGAAATTATGACTGGTAGATTGCCTCTATCGATCAAGAGGAAGGTACATAACAGCTGCATCTTGTTGGTAGGTACGTGCGCAGCAAAAACCTGGAGGCTTGCAAAGAGGGTTCAGCTTAAATTGAGGACGACGCAGCGAGTGATGGAAAGGAAAATAACAGGTGTAACCTTAAGACACAAGTAGAGAGCAGAGTGGGTCAGGGAACAAACAGTGGTTAAGAGTATCGCAGTTGAAATTAAGAATAAATGGACATGGGCTGGGCAAGTAGCGCGTAGGCAGGATAACCTCCGATCAGTAAGGGTAACTGACTGAATTCCCAGAGAAAGTAAGTGGGTGAGCGGGAGACAGAAAATTAGGTGGGTAGATGAGATTAGTTAGTTTCTGGGTATAAAGTGGCAGCACCAATCACAGGACTGCGTTGACAGGCGGAACATGGGAGAGGCCATTGTCCTGCAGTGTGTGTAGTCAGGACGACGACGATGATGATGATGATGATGATTATTATGATGATGATGATGGTGGTGGTGGTGGTGATTACGATTGTGATGATGATGATGATAATGATGATGATGGTGGTGGTGGTGGTGATGATGATGATGATGATTATGATGATGATGATGATTATGATGATGATGTAGTACAACCATCAAGTACGTCTCTTAAAGCGATCCAGAACCACGCTGTGCATATGGTCTAAAATAGACAAGTGCATATATTCTAAAATGCCTGTTGTGCCTCCCCTTACGCACTTCTCACCGCAAGAGTGCTCGTTTAGTACAATTTTTTCTAAAATTCTTTATATGCTTTCTTCGGAAAATGAAATCACTATTCGCGCGGGTAGTTCTTGCCATTTTCCGCGAAAGGATGTGCGTCTGCTACATGCCCATATATCTTCCACGAAACGTTAATTTTGTCTGCAACTGTCGGAAAATAGAATACAATTCCTTCTGGAATCGTCCTCATCACCTACGTTTCTGGTTTCAGAGGTAGGATTGAAGAACATCTTTCAAGTTAATGAATCTAACCTGGCCAGTCATTTTTTTTTTAGTTTGTTGATCCCTCGTGAAATGTCTCCTCGATGTAGGATGCATGAATGAATAAATAAAAATGTTCGTTGCGATCAGATCTTGTTAGCGATCGTAACCTCAAATAACCTGAAGTAATCCCATAACCAACTGTAACTTCAAATCTTAACTTATGCAGAACCAAACAGTGTTCACCCGATATCCGACAGCTTCGAATGGCCCTTGCCCTACTTCAGCCGGTTGCACTGGATGCCAGTTCTGACCAACCTGTGGAACTCTCACCTGAGTTCTGGCACGGGTCACGTTGATGTGCCGGTCGTCATTCATAAAAAGAAAGTATTCAAGATGAAGCCGAAGCGCAAGAGAAAGCCGACGCTTAAGCCAGTAGAAGAAGAACCAGAACCCAAGTTCGCGGAAACAACGTCCGTGCACCCTACAGAGAACCCCGTCGAAAACCCCACCGCATGGACTCTGGACGTTCCCTTAGACTGGCCGGTAGACAAGGCGACTACGGAGACGACTTTGAAGCCTGAATCTGAGCCACCTACGGAAGAGCATGTCCCCGAACCTCATGATGAGAGCACGGTGGAATTATGGCCCGATCAGGCGGGCAATGAAGTTTCACCCAACGACTCCGTTCCTTCGGACCAGCCGACTCAACCAGAGGGCGCTGAGGTTCCTCCGGTCTCCTCGGGATCGGTTATCAACGCGTTCAAGTTTCCGGGCCCACCCGAAGGGAATCAGAACGACCCGAAGACTGGAAACGAAGGAACCGTGCGACCTGACGGCGCTAAGGCAGGACACACTCAAGCGCCTGGCAAGAAAGACGGCCCGCCCGAACCCGATTCGACGAAAGAGGACCATAGCCGTCCCCAACACGCGACCGCTTCTCAACCGCGGCCCGAGAGTGAAATGTCCGACGCGGAAGTTTTAAAAGGTGAGCACTTATCTCTCCTCCCATTAGAGATCGCAAAATTACTCGTATATAATGGTAAATTACATCACGAATTGCATGCGGATGAAAGTGGTCGCATTACATTGCTATTATCTTTCAAAAGTAACACAATTACAGCGAAATTAATTTGCCAAAAAGTTTATAATTTGTGCCTAACCACGTGCACAACATATGAACCGTTTATTTGCAGCAAATCCGCGCTGTGACCTCTAAGATATCTGTTCCACTTGTTCTACTTGACGTTTGGCACTGTGATGACCCTGTCTTTGTCACCTTTTAGGGGCGAAGCTCCTTAAGGCGTGGGCTGTGCGTCCCCTGTATGTAGCCACCTCTCGTTTAGTTCTTGCAGTGTCCAATAGATGGCGGTACCGTCTCCCGTATGTCGCCTTCTCTCATTTAGTTCTTGCAGTGTTCACTAGATGGCGGCACCGTCTCCTGCATGTAGCCACCTCTCGTTTAGTTCTTTCAGTGCTCACTAGATGGCGGGACCTGTAGCTGATGATGAAAAGATGCAAGATGTTATAAACTAGACGGTGGTACTTGTAGTTGATGATGAAAAATGCGAGATGTTATAAAATAGGAATGATGTCACATATGGCACGTGTCATTGGTGGAAGGCAATCGTTCGATTTAGTGCGGCGACGTACGCTAGGGGGAGCATTGTAATAAAATCGAGTAGGCAAAATGTACGGAAGATTCATGGTTTACCAGGTTTTCCTCCAGAGCTTCGCCCACTCATCATCATTCACTTCGTGGATATGGCGGCACTTTTTTTTCTTTCTTTTTGGTCTATTTTTATTTCCACAAAGTAAGCGGACTCGCTGTAAATAAGTCAGAAGGAATTGGGAGAGTAAGAGTAAGTTTATTGACCGCCACAATGGTACAACGGTTACGGTACCAGGCTGCTGACCCACTCGTCGAGGGTTTTCATCCTTTCTCCTGCACTCGTAATCGATGGAGGTGGTTTCTCCCGTAATCGGTGAAGGTGAAATGCGACAGACACAAATACTTAAACTGAGGGACACATTAGAAAACCCCAGGGGGTGGGAATTTCCAGATCCCCCCGCTATATGGTGGTTCATAATAGTTTCGTGGTTTTGGTTCGTAATACTACAGATATTAGAGTAATTTGCTTGAATTCACATGTTCTAAATCGTATGTAAAATTAGTTTGAATTAGCAAATTACTATTCAAAATGAGTAATATGTTACGTCCCTCATTAGCGCGGAAATTAACTTAGAACAGAAATGGAACTCACTGAATACTTCAAAACATCAACAAACGATAAATAATGGAAGCCACAGTCAGGGCTTTCGAGCTTTCTTTGGGAAAGTAGGCTACTCCTTTGTCCCTATATCGCTAGAAAACCCCCACTGTTGAAACATCGGCTACTGACTCGAAGACTTCCTCTTGTACACTAAATCCAGAACCACTTCTCGGTACTTCTTTCCAAGTCCCGTTGCTACATTCCGTTGCTGACGGAGCGCTACTCTTTTTTTTTCGTTTCTTCCGGCTTCCTGTCACCCCTACAGCGTTCAACTTTGAGCCTCCCGGCCTGACCCTGGAAATGGCAGTGTTCTACGATGATGACTGCAAGAGCTCGTTCACCGAAGCGCTGGGCTCGTCGAGCAGTCTAGAGGACGCCATCAAGACCATCATTTCACAGGTGAGGACTCGTCGTCAGTAGCATAGACGTGCGCAAGGGAGGAGGGTGGGGGCACTCTCTCGTCTTTGAACTCGGAGTGGTCTATTGGGGCTCTTTAATAACGCTCTCTCAAGCCTGCGTTGTGCATCTATAGAGACAATGTATTGCGGTGTCTGTTTCCAAGCGTGCGTGCGTGGTGTCTTGTCTTGTCTCCTAGGTGATCTTGGCTCATACCCACATGGGGAATTGGCCACACTGTACCTCATAATAGATCGTTTTTTACAACGCTTGCTAAAAAAATGCGTGATGTCATGAGCATAAACAACTTCGTCTTCCTCAAAGGAAATATTTCATTTGGCGTACTAATCTTCGTATGCGTTTCATATAGTCGGAAATGGTCCAGTATGGTGTTGGAACGATTTGGCGTGTAGTGCTGCAGGGAATGTCAACATCGACCCCGACTTTTTGTCAAACACTATTTTATTCTGTGTTTCTTTTTATTTCAATTATTTTCTTTAGGTGCAGGTCTTCTACAAGCCACCTTGGCTGAAAAGCCCGCTACACATCGTCATCACAGAACTTCGCTTGCTGGAGAAAGGAGCGGTACGTTTAATGTTCTTCACTTGATGAATGGAAGTACTAGTTGGATTCAGGGGAGCCATTCATTTAACTCTCCGTTAAGTTGGCTGACCATTTCTGCCGTCACTGATTTGCCGAAGTTTGACGAGTAGCGCACCCCCGTTTCCTGTTCTTCTGGCGCGAAGTACGTGCCCCGCCGCGGTGGTCTATAGTGGCTAACGTACTCGGCTGCTGACTCGCAGGTCGTGGGTTCAAATCCCGGCTGCGGCGGCTGCATTTCCGATGGAGGCGGAAATGTCGTAGGCCCGTGTGCTCAGATTTGGGTGCACGTTAAAGAACCCCAGGTGGTCAAAATTTCCGGAGCCCTCCACTACGGCGTCTCTCATAATCATATGGTGGTTTTGGAACGTTAAACCCCACAAATCAATCAATCATGGCGCGAAGTACGTAATTTTGACGTTACAGAGCTTTCACAACCCCCGACACACATTAGAGGAACTGAAAGCGTTTTAAAGTTGAGAACGCAGCCCTCTGAGTTGGCTTTTGGACACGCGATACTCGGGTGTCATGCATTAACTTATATTTTGTGATTGTGTTAAATAACGTAATACTTTTTTAACGTAAATAACTTTGAAAGGCCGAAAATACATTTTGGTATAAGAAATGTAACGTTCTGCCGATATCGTCGTTCTGACGCCGGCGTAAAGAAACATGGCTCTTTTCGAAAAAAAAAAAAATCTGGGGTTAAAATCAAACGAGGAGAACCGAAACGGCCAGCTACACTCTGCGAACAATATCGAAACAGCAAAGCTCATGCCCTCTTTTATCAGGCTAGCCCTCACCTATCTTGCCGCCCTTCTCACTATTTCACTCTTTCCGGGGAACCTGGAGAGCCGATACTCACCCCGTTGGCGCACCTCTTATTGGCTCACCCTTTCCACTGAGCCTCACACTCGCCTGTCTTTGCGCCCCTCTGATTGGTTCGCCTTTTCGCCGAGCCTCAAGCTCGCCCACATTGGCCCGGAGCAGCCCTTCCCTTTCCTACCGAGTCACAGTCACGTGACCAGCGCTACGCCATGTCATCAACGGCCGGAGGAGTGTCGACTAAAAGCAGCTTCGATGTTAAAAAAAAAAAAAAAAGCTGAGAACAAACAAGACGTCCTGTTTTCCTCGTATAACTTTTCGCCACGAATTTTCTTCACGCATGACTCGCCACCAACCAGCCAAAAATTAGTCTTCCAACGGTACACTTGTTGTCCAGCCCCACCCTGCTGATTCAGCTTGCCTTGACGGCCAGGGGCAAGGAATTACTGGAAACGTATGGGTCCCGACAATAGGGAACCACCCCGTCCGGTGCAGGCACGCGGCATCGAATCTTCGAGTTTAATCATGTTGATTCTTTCTCTCTCTCTCTTTCTCTCTTGACATGCAGAATGAGTTATTGGAATCGGAAGAAGCCGACAAGTTGCTTCAGGGTTTCAGCAACTTCACAGCAAAGAGGAACGCTCCCGAGGATCAGCCTGGTCACTGGGACGTCGCACTCCTGCTCACTGGGTACGTTGCTTGTTCACAGAATTGTTTTCCGTTTTGTTTTAAGGTGAAAGCTTTATATATGTCTCATCAAAAGCGAAAAGTGACCATCGGCAGTGTCAACACGAGCGCCGTAAGAAATTATGTGATGACGTCACCATGTAGTCACGATCCGTCACACGTAGTCATGTATCATGACGTCACCGCGACGTTACATAACACGACTTCACATGATGCTGTCGCTTCGCCAAAGTTAATGTGGACTGATCCCGGAGATGGTATAGCACAACGTTGAGTGCAGGAAGCTTTTATAGGAGGGGTCGGGGGAGGTGGGGGTCAATGCAGTTGACTGATGAGGTAAGATAGGTCTCGCCTGCAGGCAAATGCATATGGAACAGCGCGGTTTTCTTTTCTTCATTAGAAATAGTTGGTGCACTATGGGTATACAAGTTCCACAGTTATATATTACGGGAGTTGCCATAAGCTAGGCCTATAAGGACGCATAAGTTTTTTTTTTTTTTTGGAACGAATGTAATGACGAGGGAACTTACCTTTTATCAGGGCCCTCGTTTGAAGACGTGTACTTTTTTTTCTTTTTTTGTCGAACCTTCACTCCAGCGTGGTTCCTTCGGACTCTTATCGCTGCAAGCATAAACATCTGCCTAAATTTTTAAAGTCTTTCTTGGGGACCTTCAACGCACAAATTTTGGTCTGTCTGTCTGTCTGTCTGTCTGTCTGTCTGTCTGTCTGTCTGTCTGTCTGTCTGTCTGTCTGTCTGTCTGTCTGTCTGTCTGTCTGTCTGTCTGTCTGTCTGTCTGTCTGTCTGTACATTTCTCTGTTTGTCCACACTTAACAGGATCGGGTACTTGAAATGGCCTACCCCATCCACAGCGCCCACCAATGTTGCTCAAGCTTCAGCGTTCATACTTGTGCAATTGTTGATTAAAAAGCAATTATTGCGCATGTCGGGGGCACCACAACAACACGTATTTATCCTGCATGTGCGTCTTTTACTAGAAAAGGCATACATAGGCAATTTTAAAAAACATAGCGCTTATCACGCTGCGCTGGCCATGCAACGCTTGCACGAACAGGCGAGTGTTTCAATGCTTTGCTAAAACAAGACGGTGGTGGTACCTACCCGTCGCCTTGCGTTCTACTCCACCTCTGAGACGGGCGCGCACACCTGTCTCAGAGCCACGCGCTTCGTTTTTCAAGAGAACTGCCAGATGGCGCTCATGTCTCACGTGTGACGAGCCACAAGACTATCGTCTTTCGACGACGTTTGCAGATTACATGCAGATACGGGGTCATTTTTTTATTCAAAATATGTGTGTTGCAATGAGCTCCCAAAGTTTTCCCAAAAATGTAACTCTGTAGGAATTCTACATGTTAGCATTGTAAATGACAGGGCTAATTTGTAGTCCACCATTACTTCTTAGCATTAAAAAAAAGTTCTGTGACGAGAATCGAGAAGACTGTGGCGCACAGGTGCGTTATGTGCGTCTCGCATTCTTTCAAGTCTACTGTTGCAGAAGTTTCCTTTTTATTTTATTTTTTTGCGCCAAGAAGTCGTCATAAAGTAATGCCACAACAGAAGTAAGGATTGAACACGATGTCGACCGCCCACGTTTATTGCACTACTTTTTTTTTCAGGAAGGACATGCATGCAGCAAGGGAGGGAAAGAAAGACACAAGCGTGCTAGGTGAGCCGTCTCTCGCATTGCCACTCGCATATCTCTTTTCAATGCGCTCCTCGTGGGGCTTTCTTGTTGTGCTCACATTTGCCCCTTTGTGAAGCAACGTTGTCACCAGGACTAATAAGCTTAAATGATTTCCGTGAACAGTGCGCCGATAATTTTTGCAGCGTGTTCAATCCAGTTCTGCCACATTTTTTTCGAAGAAATGTGAACGTACTTCGGTGAGAGGAGGGGCGAGATGGGTTGATTGGTAAAGCTTCACGTTTACTCGTTCAATGGCGCAAAGAGGTGAGGACATAAGATTCAGCTAACACGTCACGGGCGACGACTTCAAACTGGCATCTATTCAGAAACACATGATTGATCGATTGATTGATTGATTTATATGTGGGGTTTAACGTCCCCAAACCATCATATGATTATGAGAGATACCGTAGTGGAAGGCTCCAGAAATTTCAACCACCTGGGGTTCTTTGACGTACGCCCAAATCTGAGCAAACGGGCCTACAACATTTTCGCCTCCATCGTAAATGCAGCCGCAGCAGCCGGGATTCGATCCTGCGACCTACGGGTCAGCTGCCGAGTACCTTAGCCACTAGACCACCGCGGAGGGGCTCAGAAACACATGTAATATATGCTCTTCCAGTCCCAGTTACATCATGGATCAGTTATAAGAGGCTGAAATTCATACATTATCAATTTCTCGTAAACAATCAAAATAGGGCTATAGTAGAAACAGTCAGGTAAGAAAAGTAAACTAACAGTAAATAAGAGTGGTCACAATCGGTAAATAATTTGACAGAAGCATGACGTTGTTATTAGGTGTTAAGATACGTCATCTCGCTCCCCAAAAGGTGCGCCAAAACTTGGCCCATGGGTAGGTGATAATGCACGCACGTTGGCCTTTTAAAACTAATCTGTTAGATAGCTGAGGTTAGATCACCATATATCAAACGTGCGTTTCTGAGTAAATGTTTGTTTGAAGTTAACACCTATCGCGTGTAACTTCCACGTTTCGTCTTTGCCCTTTAGCGGTGTTGAATGAGTCGGCATATAGCTTGTGCGCATAGACATATGCACACGAGACAGCATTTTGCATAGCACACCGGCAAGCCCATTCGTCACAAAAATTGCTAAGGCATGCTAGATCCGGCTGAACCCTGCTGCTATAGCTTCCAGTGAATGTATCATAAGTTCTATGACCGTGCGCAGGGTTTGCCTTCGTGGGGGTACGAAGGCCCGTCGCAGAGCTCCATCCCCTCTCCTTGTAAAGTCAATGTATGGGGTAGAATTCGGGCTCCCCTTCCCGTTTAAGTGACTTGGGAGGGCGGCCCTGCTCGAAACACCCCGTCTGTGCTTTACGCAGGGAAGGCCTACTTGGGCGGCGTTTGTAGCGAAGGTTTTGCGACCGTCGTGGTCGAGTTCGGATCGACCAACCCGAAGCGAAGGCCGATGACCACGTTCGGCCTGCAGACGAGTGACGTGGCTGCTCACGAGCTGGCTCACAGGTGAGAGATCGCCGGAACTTTGTCAAAGATTAAACTATAGCATTTCATATCCATTGAAACATTTACCTCAAAAGCAAACACCACCCAATTAATGAACTCTGAGTAGAGTAAAGACTGAACGTAACGATAATTTGGTGTCTATTTGTTGGAGAGTGGATAGCACTGTTCAATATCCGAGGAGCAGCGCTACAAGCGGGTGCAGACGTAAATATATTTTTTTTTTCGCTGAGGTAGGGTACGTGCGAGATTAGACCTTGCCTTGTGCGTGCTCGTGCGTGCTTGGCTAAGTACGCGGACGCAAGGATGAAAAGTTGAGGAAGGAGAGTTGAGCCCCTCTCCCCCCTCCTATATACCCACATAGCAACAGATGTAGAGGAACATAGGAAAACAGAGTACAAAAGAGCGCTGATCTGCAGTCAATTTATTCAAGAAAAGCTAGCTGCATTTACACAAGTTTATAAAAGCGACCAGACTTCGGTAAATTCAGCTTAAGGTCAGCGCTTTGTTTCATATCTCCGTTTTCCTTTCTGTGTTTATTGCGCTGCACCTCCTGCACTTAGCATGAACTCACCCAGATCAAGCTTTCGTTGGGAGGACCATGTGAGAATGGCCCTCAATGTATACCTCTTTCACGATGTCACGTCCCATGTGCCCTTCCCCAGGAGGTAATGCCGCGAAACACCTCTTGGTCTCGGAGCCTTTCTTTCTGGCGATGCCAGTTTTCCTGGTCCTTAAAGAACCGTACCAAAACGGGAGATACCAGCGTAGAAAAACGAAAAAGGGTGGATTGCCCTTCGTTATGTCAAATTACTTTATATTGACTTGATAGCTGGTACCAAGACGAGTGCTCGTCTTTGTCGGTTCCATAACATTTCGTCATTTTCTGCGTTGCACTCAAGTTCAATATGGTATACCAGCTGGACCGTACCGATGCCTTACTTCAGGTAGCACTACCTGGAATTAACATGCATGGTTATTAGCTCCAGCAAGACTCAACAAGCTGCTGTTATCGAGTCGCTTACATTCTTAAAAAACCACTAACCACCCAGAGTTAGAGTTGTAGTGCTTCACTTCTGCGCGACTTTTCAACGAAGATGCCGCAGCGTCAATTTGTCAAAAAGATATTAGCGGAGTTACACGCGTTGTGGATTCAAAAGCGGGCCCCGCTAGCTTCGATGTTTCATTCGCTAAGGTCCTTCTATCGGCTCGTGTCTCCTTCTGACCGAATGCTGCTGTGGGGAGCCAGCGTGCCTGCGAGCATAGAAATTAATTCTTTTGTGTGAATGACGTGACCAGACGACAATGTTGACGGCACGGCCATCACTGGAGATCATCGAATTGCCGGAGATGAAAAGAATCGTTTTTACGTACTTGTGGCTCGCGCGCGGCCCTTATCGCTGCCGAATTCGGCAGTGTTCATTATGGCGAACTATAAATGCGCGCGTTTACTTGAAATGTTATTGAATTATCCCTGGTTCTTTGTGGGCCCCTAAACGTTTTTTGTCATGTGACTGGGAATTCTCGCGGACGTCTCTCAGTCTCGGCGTCAACCACGACGGCCCACCGGAAAACACAGATTGCGCGCTGGACCGCTACCTGATGGGCCCGTGGCGCACGTCCAACACGACCACCTGGTGGTCCCCGTGTAGCCTCCAGCTGCTCACCAAGCTCGACGGGAACGGCAAGCTGTCGTGCATCAAGAAGCCACTGTCCGTCAAAAGGTGCGCTTGATAGCGTAGTTGGCGCTTCCGCGTGCCACCCTCTGGGCACCGTTCACGTCACTGGGTGTTTGCATGCCAGAACGACGTTTTGCATGACCTCGTTGGATGCAGAACACTGCGGTCTGTTGTTGAAGAGAACATTGGAGCGCGTGACGGCCGCACGGCACCACCAGAGGCTGCCGATTGCAACGAGTTTCGCGCATGCGCAATGCGTGCTGTGAGTGGTGCTCTTTCGCAACGCCTCCTAGAAAAACTATGCCTGGAACGTTGCTCTCTTTTCAATTGGGAGCCTCCTGCCAGCACGGCATCTCAGAGGCCATACCTCCTGCCTTGTGTTGCAGCCGGCCGCCGCGTGGGACCGCTCGCCTCCGTACCGCTCTGTCACGTGACAGTACCGTACCGCTCTGTCACGTGACATCACGGCTGCTCGGAGGTAACTGTGAGAGCACTGCTGTGTTCGCAGGAGGCGGTCGTCGGAGACGCTTTCACCTTCGTACCGAAGGAGGAGAGTAAAATCAGAGGTAGGGCAGCGCTTTCGCGGCTCACATTCCAGGCATAAATGTTTCAGGAGGCGTTTTTTTTTTTTTTTTTGTCGGATGAACGGTTCGCTTCGCGACGATTGGCAGCGCGGTGGCTAGCGTAGACAAAAGAGTACGGCTGACAGAGCGCACTCTGCCAAACTTCTTGCTGCCCCCGGCCGTTGATGGCGCTGAGAGGGCGCCGCACTCTCCAACGTTCCCTTAAACAGACAGTGGACCGCAGTGTACTATCATGAACAATATGAGCTCCAAGACGCGAACGCGTGGCGAACAGCCTCGCAACCTACATCGCCTGAATCGCAGCGACCGCTGTCGGAAACAAAGTGGAAAGGGCGGCGCGCTGCCGTTAGCTGTTGAGCACCTTCCTTTCCCTTCCAGTTTTGGCGACGCCATCCACGTATCACGTTATCTCGCTTTGGAGGCTATATTCGTCAAGTGCTCGCGTGTTCCAGCTCATATTGCTCCCGACAGTGCATCGCTTACAAAAGATTCTGCCCTGAAGAACAAACTTCAGGGTAGAAACGACGACCACATCATATTAGTAGTCCAGCCGTGGTTGTGACAAACGTTACAAGCGTTTCTTCCTTTGGAAACCCCAATTTCTCATCACATGGCAAGACTGCCCTGAATCTGTAGGTATCCTGCACCATGCAGTGAGCGAGGAACAATGAAGCGTGTTTGTGTACTTTCAATGTCTCGTTATCTTCATACCCCGTTATATTCAACCTACCCTGTGCCCTAAAGGGAACAGGGTAGGTCAACAGATGCGCGCGCACAAGTTCGCGTCCGCGCGCGTCTTTTGATGCTAGTCATGCCCTAGCGACCAACTTCGGCAGCACTGGGCTCTTGAGCTAAATCTACGTCTTTAGTTCGCGTAAATATCTTCTGTTAGAATTGACCAACTCGCCCGACAAATCACTCTAATACGTGGCTCTAGGGGGGTGTTATTGCGCGGAGTCCGTATCAGTCATTCCTCCGAATCTAATCTGTTTTTGTATTATGTGGACCGCCACGTTCTGCCCAGGCTACGGCAAGTGCTCCACTGGAATTCGTGGCGCAGTGAACACCCTCCGGGTCAGCAGTGGGACGCCGACGCCCAGTGCCGCGTCTTCCTCAAAAGCGAGGGAGCGAGGTGCAGCATCAAGGCTGAAAACATGAGCGTGAGTTGTGCAGCGTCTCGACGGTGGCCGGTTGGTGCGTTATGAAATGGAACGAAGCTGACCTTTGGACAGGACTATGTAAGCGTGGTATCTGTCATGTTCCCTTCTTCCTGTCCAAAGCGCTGTTATGTTCACTTTTCATGCGGCAAGAAAACTGGCTTAATATTTTCACATAATTTCGAGGCCGTCTCTGTAAGGTAGCAGGAGCAAGAAGCCAGTGCGAAATCACTCGCCACCGAACTGATTGATTGAGTTGGTTAGTTAGTTAGTTAGTTAGTTAGTTAGTTAGTTAGTTAGTTCGTTAGTTAGTTAGTTAGTTAGTTAGTTAGTTAATTAGTTAGTTAGTTAGTTAGTTAGTTAGTTTTGATTGATTGATTGATATGTGGGGTTTAACGTTCCAAAACCACTATATGATTATGAGAGACGCCGTAAAGGAGGGCTCCGGAAATTTTGACCACCTGGGGTTCTTTAACGTGCACCCAAATCTGACTACACGGGCCTACAACATTTCCGCCTCCATCGGAAATGCAGCCGCCGCAGCCGGGATTCGAACTCGCGCCCTGCGGGTCAGCAGCCGAGTACCTTAGCCACTAGACCACCGCGGCGGGGGCGTTAGTTAGTTAGTTAGTTAGTTAGTTAGTTAGTTAGTTAGTTAGTTAGTTAGTTAGTTAGTTAGTTAGTTAGTTAGTTAGTTAGTTAGTTAGTTAGTTAGTTAGTTAGTTATGAAATCTTTCATTTGTTGTTCCTTCATTGTGCACTGTATAGTCATCAGTCATCAATTTCACTTCTGATCTTTATTTCCAATCGTGTTGAACTCAACGTTTCAAAGTCAACCTTCCGCCACGGTGGTGTAGCGGTTACGGCTGTGGCTTCGATCGCGGCCGCAGCAGCGGTCACGTTCTGGTGGGGGTGAAATGCTAGAGGTCTTCGAAGCGTCTGACGTCAGCGCGCGTCAAAGAACTTCTGAACTTCTGAACACCCCATGGTCGAAATTTCCGGGGCGCTGATCCATATATACGACCAGTCCTATTGGCACATCATCGTTTTGCACGTATAAAACTTCAGATATTATGAATATCCGAATGTCGGTGTGTTCCACGAGCTTCTTTCCTTTCAGGCGGTATGCCGGGCCCTGCAGTGCAAAAGTCCGGAAAGGATCGGCCTCTTTGGAGCCGGACACGCCTTGGAGGGAACCTACTGTGGGGATAACAACGTAAGCCATGTAGTTGTACAGTTTTATTATAGCATGTGCGAAGCAACTTTAGCTATTATTTGGTGACCAATGCGTCCTTTCACTTCGTTATGTACAGTATGCGATTATAAAAGAGCTAAAGAAAAATAAGGTAGCCCTGTGTGTAGTAAATTCAAGTTCAAAAGTTCACGTTACAAAGTACTGCATGAATGTCTGGGGAACGTTGGTACGATGCACGAAGTATGATCTTGCCCACTCAGCATTCATCCCAGCAGTTCTTATGCTTTGGCAAGCAAGAATGTTCTGTTGGAATTCAGCAAGCGGAGCGCTTGAATGAGTCACTCATTTGATACGCCTGGCACAGCTGAGCAAGCTGATGCACACCGTCGTCATCCTGCAGTCTCAGAAGCGTGTCGGCCTTTTTTGCGTCGCCACTTCATGGGGGTAAATGGTTATAAGAGGGGAAAAAAGAGAAAAGTGAGCCCTGTAACTGTCTGCGTCAGGGTGTGACACCTCAACAATAGCTCACAAGGGATGGGGGTGAGGAGGGATTAAAATGATAGGATTAAAGGTATAGAGAGAGAGATGCGCTAAGACAGCGAGCGAGGACATATAAGGAATAGGAGAGATAGGAAAGATGGAAACATGGTCACAGGAGTCCGAGGACGGGGCACCGCTTGCGAGAGCTCTTGTCGGCGTCTGGAGATGGCGTAGGGCAAGTCCAGTAGGTCAGAGCTACGCTGTCGTCGGAGATCGGCGCCAGGAGATGACCTAGGGCCAGCCCAGTCGGCCAGAACTACGCTGACGTCGGAGATCGCGAGGGCACAACCGGTCGGCACGGAATCCAGCGAGCGAGTTCTGTCCCGTTAGTGTATAGACGGTTTCGGTGTTTGTAAACAAACTGGCTCGCACCGAACGGCTTACCCCAGCAGACTTCCGGTGCGGCACTTCCGGCAATGCTTTTTCAAGGTCCCGGTGGTGTTTTCGGGGTGTGTTTAAGTTTGCTGCTCTATTATTTCTCGCGCATTTCTTAGGATGTGTTTGGGGCAACGTCTATAGCGGCTACATGAAGTGGTTCGACGTAGCGCACGGCTCGCGTGGCCGACGGGCGCCTTGTAAAATATACGTCGTGGTGGTCCGATGAGTGCGGCCCACTGCTTCGTGTGACCTGCTCTGAGAGGGATCGCGTTTATACAAACAGGAAATGCATAGATTGCAAAAGACGTTTGTCAGCGGACTTAATTGAGCCAGCTGGTCCCTGCATGCCGACGATGTGGATGCGCTTTGAAGACTCGGACCGAGAATTGACAGCGCACACCTGTCTTTTAGCTGTCGGCAATTTCAAAGCGCACCCACACCGTCAACGTGCAGGAGAAGAGTTGCTCAATTCATAGTGAAGTTGTTCGATTCAGCTTTTCGACTAGAACTTTAAACCTTCCTCCTGTTGAACCCCGAACATACTCCTGTTTTCGTCTAAGCACGCAACCTCAGGATAAAACGCTTATTTCTGCGTCTGTGTCACACCGCACGTTTTGAAGAGATCAGCGGCGATCAAAATCACTCACAATCTGACGTGTTCGTTTGACTGAGAAATTATAAAATGCAGTGATGTGATAAGTCAACTGTGGCCGCAGGGTCACACGAACTATTATGGTTTAATAGCGAGTAAGCTATTCACGAATCAAACTTTCAAGTCGAACCTACCTAAATGTTCAGTCCATGTTCTGACACAAAATATAAATTAGCTTGAATGTGGCGATGTTCAGTAGTGACAGAAAGACGGGCGATGAGTCATATTTGCTCGCACAGATGAGAGCCCACTCGACGACATCACTTAAAATAAATCAAATGCAACAACGAAACGTGGACACTACGACGTACATGTCATGCGGCAATTCATGTCAAGTGCGGCTATCTTTGTGTCCTGTGTTGTGAAGAACAATACACATCGCTGATATCGCTCAAACTATAAAATGAACAGCTTTTCGATGACTTTTCAGTGTTAGCTTTCACGTTTTGCTACTCCTTTCAGGCATCAGTACACTTGCTTGCCACGGGTGCAAAAGGACAGTGACCGGTGTGTTCCCGGTAACTGGGGGCCTTCGACTAGTCTAACGTCTGAGTATCGCCTCAGTGCGATCAGTCTGCACTGGGCCTTACGTTGCCTTTGATGAAGTGGGCAGAACAAACCTAAACGTGCTCTTAGCGGGAATCCAGTTTTTTTTTTTTTTTTGCATGATGGCCGCAATGCAAGTGCTTTTTCTATCGTCATCGGTCAGAAAACAACGTTTTGACTATAGCATATAAAATTGATTCATGACTCCATCCTGACTTGACAAAGCTGTGCTTGAGTTGCCAACGCTCTACCGGAATAACTTTATTCGCATAAAACATTTGAACACAAGCAGCCACGGCCAGTGACAAACGCTAAAACCACGCGAGAGCAAGCTAAACCAAAAGTTTTCAGGGGTGATTTTCCGGTGAACGCACAAGGTTGCTGGAGACCAGCAGGCTCTGACGAAACCGTCTATAGTTGATCAACTCACCGAATCTTTCATACCAAAGTTTTTTTTAAAGACGATAGTCTTTCTTGGGGACCTTCGACGGAAAAATTTTGGTTAATCTGTGTGTGTGTCTGTACAATTGTCTGTTTGTCTGCCCTAACGATACCTCAAATGGCACTAAACGGCCAACCCCATCCGCAGCGCCCATTAATATTGCTCAAGGTTTAGCATTCATAGTTGAGCGATTGTCAATTAAAAAGCAATTATTGCGCATATCTGAGGCGCCACAACAACGCTTCGATGTTTTCTATGTCTTCCTTTATACTAGAAGAGGCATACACAAGTAACTCTAAGGAATGTAGCGTTTAATCGCGCTGCGCTGACAGTGCAACACGATGTTCGAAAAAGGTGTTTCCAACGTTTTGATACGACGTCACGGTGGTGGCACCTGCCCGTCGCTTTGCGTTTTACACCTTATCACCTCCGAGACTGGCGCGCATCTTTCTCCGCGGGCTGCACGCCTTCGTTTTCGAAGATAACTGCCAGATGGCAGCTTGTGTCTAACGTGCCTAGATGCGCTCGTTCGCTTCCGCCACACGCTCGAGGCGCTCTAACGCAGCGCCTGCAGAATACCATTCACCGATTTTCTTTCGCAGAACATAGAATAAACGTTTTGTTCACTCTCTCCAGGCGCAAGAATATCGTCTTTCGACGACACTTACAGTGTTACATGTAGATTCGGGACAATTTTTTACGTTGAAAATCTTATATGCATCACGAAATGCGTAAAGTGACCGTAGACGTCAGCACGAGTGATGCTAAAAATCGGCGTCATCGTCACGTGATCGTGTCATCGTGTGACGTCGTCGCTTGGTCGAGGGTGGGCCAGTCCCGGAGGCCCCGTAAAACCACGTGATGTGCAGAAAACTTCCAATGATTCTAATACAATCTCAATCACTTGTAATCTTCTTTGTATCAGAATAGTTGGAATCATTGCGCATGTCCAATCCTTCTGGTACGATCAAAATCATTGGGCGTTAACAGGTGCAGTGCAAAACCACGTTGTGTACAGATAACTTCAAAGGGGAGAGGTGGGGGAGTGCCTGATCAACGTGACTTTTGGTTGTCATGCTTGTCAGACAAAGCAAAAGCAGATCACCTCCGTGATCGCCAGTATATGTTGTTGACGCTCATGACTTACTACATCCTTGGTGGCGTGTGCAGTGGTGTCAGGGCACCAAGTGCGTGCCATTCCCGAAGTCGCTGGCCGTCGTTCCCGGCGGCTGGAGCGAGTGGGAAACGGTGAGCGAATGCAGTCAGCCATGCCTGCAGCACAGCGTGGCGCTCGTCCACATGAAGAGGAGGTGCAACGATCCACGGTCAGTGTCGTCGGCAACGTTCTTTCTTACGCGGACACGTTTGCCGATTCCACGTGTCGAAGTAACAGAGAAGCGGCACAAGTTGTCTCAGAAAGGTAGTGGTTATAAATTTGAATCCGTAGTGTGAACACAAAAGGCAAGCGTTATTGCACTCCGATTGATACATCACGTCCAATGTTATGTTCTTGCAGTAGACGTGTTCGCATCATGAAATAGTTGATTGGTCTTGCCACTCGTCATGTCACTTTTTCTTCCTTTTAGGCTAAATAGTAATGAAAACGCTTTGTGTCCTAAAGATAAAAAAAATAAAAATTCTACATACTGCTGTCAATAGGTTGTTCTGGATCGCTTATGTTCTCTTCATTGTCATATCGTGGTCTCCGTCATTATTTCCGGAAATGGAACTACCGGGCGTCGGAACTACTTTGCTCAAATTTCTATTTAAAAAAAAGCGGGGGGGCGGGGGTTCAGGTTGTTCTTCTGTGCTTTGTGTATCTGAACCACACACGGCCATTTATGTTTGACAACGTATGCACCATTTGTCATGTTTTTGTAGATGTATAAGGTTATCTTAGTGAGTGTGTGACAGAACTTTATTTGGCCCGCAATACACTCGAGTAGATTCAACGTCACCTGGTTGGGCTATTTTGGTGCAAAATAAATCAAATCGTTAATCAACGCTCGTGTGTGTCAGTAGCGCTGTACCTTCCTGTTCCTTTCAACTCGGTCCACGCTTTCTTGCAGGAGGCAGAACACGCTGGAAGGATGCGAGGGTGACAACGTTAGGATGAGGCCTTGTGACGTCAATGCCAATGAGAAGGTGACAGGCCCTCTAATGGTGTTCAACGCTGTGCTTTGTCTGACAAGCAAGTTAGATTAGGTTAGGCAAGTCCCTGATTTTCGGTATGTCGAAACTTCGCATTACAGGCTCCAAAGTGCGTGCATCCCAAGACCAACCAGCAGTACATAGACGAAAAGTGCGCCCTCTACGCCCGCTTCAAGCCGGAACTGAAACCCAGGGGCACTCAGGTTCCCTACAGCGCAGGTAGGTTCCACCATCCGGCTTCGATTGTTATAGGCCAGTTACGCAGGAAGAACACGGTTTTAGTCGGCGTAGAAACACTGCCTCATCATTAGCTAACACTTGGCCTATATTAGCCAGTGTCAGTAGTAAGCGAGTAAATATTTGAAGGCTTCACAAAGCAGGTTAAAACACGTGAAGGCTTCAGACAAACTGCGTGCTTTGTTCTTCACGATCTGGCCTCTGTTAGTTCCAACACATTTCAAAGAAACTAGAGGAGTGGTTAAAGGTAACAGGCGAACAACGTACTCATTTTTACATGAGCTTATCATGGAAGCCGTGTCTTAAACTTAGTGTTCCTTAATGGGTTCTCCATCGCAGTACTTTCCTAGCTGGTCAACGCATAAGTATGTGTATAATCAGCGCTTGGTACATTTTGTAGCAAGAACATGGCGAGAAGACAAGATAACCGCGGGTAATCAAGAGTAACAAACTGGGTTGCAAGAAAAGGCAAGCGATAGAGCTAGCTAGAGGGTGCCTTGGACAGATGAAATAAACACGTTTGTTCTGACAACGTGCCTGTAGCTAGCCTATAGGCAGTCCATACACCTTTTCACAGGAAGGAAAGAACACCGCCATGATGGGCTGCGCGCGGGAGTACAAAGACCAAGGGCGCAGCCTTGTCAGTGCATTTTTCAGTGGTCAAGACAGTTTGCGCAGCCCAAAGAAGACTATGGCGGCGCCCAGGGAGGCGTTTTTTGAAAAGGTCTATAAGGCTGGTTATATTAAACAAACACGAAGCGGCTTTTGTACCGCAGTGGTTGTAGTCAAACTGATGATGGTGGTTGTGATGACTTTTTTCGTACGGGTACTACGCGGCAGCCCAGTCGTGGCGCGCCTGTGCCATCCACTGCGGCTACAAGGGCGACGCGTTCATAGCGGCCAAGTTCTTCCTGAACGAGCAGACCAACGAGACGGGCGTGCTGCCGGACGGCACCCGGTGCCACTTCGACAAGTCCAAGGGGGCCGCGTACTACTGCCAGCAGGGACAGTGCGTCACGCTGCTGCAGAGCCTCGCCGGAATACAGGACAGCGAGGCAGGACAGGTATGGCGTCACCTGCGATCGTCGTATACCAGTTGGGGTGTACATTCGCCTAAAAGAGACGGCATGAATAGTCCGTACCGTGAAAACCGTCGGACAGCAACGCTGTAAGCGCGTGATCGCATGTGATTGGCTAGTGAGGCCACATGTGTTATCGTCGTCATTATTTTGTTTTATTGAACGCCAAGCATTTGTTTTCGTACTGCACGCTCCTTTAGCGAATCTATCTATCTATCTATCTATCTATCTATCTATCTATCTATCTATCTATCTATCTATCTCTCTATCTCTCTATCTATTTATCACTTGGGGTAAACTAAAACTAGTAGGGGAGGGCAAGATGGGTTCACGAATGTGACTCGCTGATCATGACAAGAATAATATGTAAATGCTGCCGCATATGTCGTGAAACGCTTTCGACCAGTCGCATACGACTCGTACCCGTATACCACAGGTGGGTATGTGCCACAAGTATGCGAGTATGTGCCACAGGGGACTGACAGTTTATATCAACCCAGGAAGCGAACCTTAATTAGCTCTCCCGCCTTTTGCCATGCTTTCTGTGCATTGCGTTAGACAAGGCCGAAGCGCGTAAGTTGGCTTCAAACCAATTCCCTCTGTATAGCTTCGGATTGTTTCACTCAGTCACATGACTTAAACTGTCGTAGCCAGTTGTGTACTTCCAGCATTTGTTAGCAGTGTCAAACGGCAAGTAGTGTTGATTGGTTGTCTTTAACGCCAACTAATGTTCACCAACGAATGTTGTAAACACGTTTTTTTTTCATTTGGTTACAATGCAATTAATCAATTGCTTACTCATTTTTGTATCCTTATGAGAGTAACTTCTCTCGATCGCTGCACTAGAACTGTTTCTTCACTTATGGTTGGTGTTTGCTGAAAGATGATTTCTGCCTCCCCTATTACCTGTGTTTTCCTTTCTGTCTGAATTTGCAGCAAAAGGCGTGTCCTTCGCTGTACTTATGCTCTGCAATCCTCATTGCAATCAAAGGTGCAGCCGTAGTGGTACAATATCAGGGCTTTGTACGATCAAGCTTTACCGTGCGCTCAGGTCCTCGAAGTGGAAGACTCGGACTGGGCTCCGGACACCGAGGGTCGACGGCTGGTCGAGAAGTACCTGGAGTACGTGCCGGGCAAAGACTTCGCTGTTCTGGACGCGAAGAAAGTGCCCCGCGCACAAGCTCGCGTTGCCGTCGACGACCTGTAACCTCTAGGCCGTCCGTGGACCTACGTGTCACCTTCCGTGCCTTCCTAGAGCAAGGGACTCGAGACGACAGAAATTCGAGCTGGATGGTGCACGCCTTTGCGCGTCTTACATTGTTCCGCGCGAAAGACTGACTTGGCTTTGGTATCGCATTGAAGCATATTACTTCTTCCTACTACCTTCTTCCGGTTTGGGCCCATTCAGCGACAGCGAATGCAAACGCAACATGCGCTAACTAGAGTGCGAAAACCGGGTGAGCTTGTTGGTGTTATGGGTGTAGGCGGGGTTCATAGGTGAGTTATAGACGTGCGAGAGGTTCGCCATTGGAAGGGGGAGGGACAGTTATGAAGCAGAGTGGCCCTGTCTTCCTCCCCCAAATAGAATAGTTGAGCCCGTAAAAAAAAAACAAGTTTTGCTATGAATGCAAACAGGAAAACGAAGTGATGACATCATTCCCACAACGGCGCGCCTGAATTGATCCCCGACATTCCGGGACTAAAGGTAGGAGGAGTTCTTGGAATGCAACGTCAAGATTCATCGGTTGCCGTAGGTAGGCAAACTCTCTCAACGGTCGACTCACTCAGATCGGGCCGTGAGTCGTTAGTCTGAGTCACTCCAAGTGAGTGAATGTTAGATGAGTTTGAGTCATAGTCAGTCAGACTGACGAAAAGTTTAGTGAGTCTCAGTCCGAGTCAGTCTAATATGTATAATACAATCATTCAGCTAGTCTGAATGAGTTCCACCTTTTATTGCCGAACATGATCCTGTCTATACTCATTCTCAAGGTTACTATCAACCTTGTACAGGCTTACAATTATGCTGAAGAGTATACGCACATACCTCGACGCACTAGAGCTCAGGCACCACCAGGTGGCGTGGGTTAGGTGGCGGAGAGAGGGGAAGTGCATGATTTCTATCTGCAAACTCACGGGAAGTTCTTCATAAAAATACCTCGTGTGAATCGCGTATTTCGTAAGGATGTTCTTGCTGGATTGAAACCACTGATAACTCGTATTTGAAGGTACGAGATCAAGAAGTTCTGCCTGTATCACCGTTTGTGTGAGATATTAGAATTAATGAGAACGGACTTCATGATTAAAAAAGCTAATTTTACGCTGACTCATGAGTCGACTCACTCATATCCACTCGGGCTCAAGTCAGGCCATGAGTATTACGGAGTCCAGCTGAGTACTATGTTAACACGTGCGAGTCCGTTTAAAACTTTGTTGAGTCTGAGTCTGGTTGAGCCTTGACGGTAAAATATATTTCCTCATTTAGTCTGCGTGAGCTCCAATTGTTTTTCGAACTTGAATAGAAGTATACACTCAGGACAGGCGAGGCCTACGTACTTTTCTGCATCGTGTTGCCCTCTCAGGTACATTGGAGTTACAATAAACAACAGACAGTTATAGGAAGTAAGTACGATATCGGGTGTACATACGTACGCGACGCGTGGGAAGCACCAATGAAAAGCTTACCGCTATGATTCTCAGTGTACAGAATGCAGTTTTGGGCTCTTTTGACGGAAAATGGAATCTGTGGTTGTTTCGTTATCAATTAACTGGTTTCGAGAATGAAGCTGTGGCGTTTCGGAAAAGGGATGTGGACGCAGCTGCTGAAAGCTGAGAGTTTTTAAACAAGTTGGAAACCACGTAGCTTCTAGACCGATTTTGCAGCAGAAAAGGTTAAATAGCTACACCCTAAAGAAAGTGTTCCCGCCGTCACTTCATTATGTTCGATTTGCCAGATACGTTCTTTCTTTAATAAAATGTCGTTTGGTATGGAGCGCTTCTGTCTCGTGATTGTATTGCTTCGTATTGAACTGTATTCGTTATGTTTACTATTTCGTAACTTGACGTTGATTATTGTGAACGTGACATCTTCGATGGCACTGAGTGTTCAGGGAGACATAAGCGAAATTAAAAGTGAAATCTTCGATGGCTATCGAATGGCCATGCACACAGCAATGTACAACCATTAGCCAGGCAAAAGGCCTGGAGCGATATAATAAATTACCTAGACTGTACTAATATTTTGCACCAATGTACAAAAAAAAACATGTAAACTGATAACTTATCACATGTTCAAGTATGGCAAACGGGCCAGAGAATTTTAAGTGCTGCTCGCTTTCAACGTTATCCCCGAAGAAGCCATGCATTTCTGGACTTAAAAAGAGTGGAAACAGTCACTTGGTAAATGGCGCTATTAACGTAGCTCCCCCCTCTCCCACTTAGTTTTTCTTTTACTTTTGTAAGTGAATATGAGTCACCAGATTTTTTGTGATCGGGAATTTTGCACTTCACATATGGTATAAATTTTGCCAGGATGCCTAATGAATGGCTATTTTTTTTATTTTTGGGCTCAAATGTATCATCATCGACACGCCATTCGAGGCATGACGTGATTGCAGTGATACTGCTCTCAAGCATGAAACGTGAACGCCTTACTGCCGGTGAGCGCTGAAAATAACAAAGTAGAAATACGAGGCATTCTTTTTTTTTTCTAAAATAGCCAAGTCCAGAAACTGGAACTAGGCTCAATTTCACTGGCCCGTAAAGCCCGCCTAAGTATGTTCAATTTCTAGAACAATTATATTCGAAATCGGTCAATTCCTTATTGTAGCATGAGCTCAGAAAGGCAGTTTCTAATCAAAAATGATCCATGTATACTCTAACTGCTTCAATCAAAGTGAGCCATATTCACTAAACCGGCACTGTGCCAACAAACGCGATCAAAACAACCAACACGCATGGTCCCACCCGAAATGTTACGTTTGTGTCTTGATCGCTCTGTTATCGTGTTTACGTTCCAGAATTAGGTTCTCTAGCGCGAGTTGACACTTTCTGAAGGACACGATGTTCAATGACATAACTCGATTGTAAAAAGTAAGCGGCTGACTTGCCTACTTCTTTTTGCCTCTTACGTGATTCTTTTCGACTCTATCACAATAGTATCGTCCACCGTTCAACCCAAAATAGCATATTTTAAATAAAAATAGGCATGAAATAAAGATACTGGGCGTCTATCTGTTCTATAAAGAAAAAGAAGTAGTAAGAAATGACATGGCATAAAACTAACTGGAACACTTCTTAAGGCCTTCCATAGATGCCAGGAACAAGAAAAAACCGACGACAGTCTGTAATAGTGCGCCTTTTGCCAGGAAGAACCACTCGTTCTCCAAGTGTGTTAATCGACATTACGTCCATGCGTCGAAGCACGGCACCGACGGAAGCAAAGTATGATGTCAGTTCTATCGAAAAATATTGCTATAGCGTACATTCGAACCGTTTTACACTTATTTTACAAATTAATTAATGTCCAAGTGAAGTGTTTCAATCTATATGAGCCAAATATAAATTTTACTCCACAATACTGACGATACTTGGCTATGTAGATTTTAGCCACACTATAGATTTGTGGTATTGAAGGGAGAGGAACATACTGGCAAAAATTTGTTTGAGCAGGCCCAACCATATTATGAGTAGAAAAAAAAGTGCGTTTTTTGTTCAGTTTTATTTAAAGTGCATCTGGCTCTTTTGAGAAAAAAACGCCTCATATATGTTACTCGGTAGTATATATGAAACGGACTTGCCAGCGCACCCTAAAAACAATTCTCCGGCCTAGAACTGAGGTTTACGACAGGTAGCGCACCGCTGAATCACAAAGAGTCCGATTGTCGGCTAAAATCAAGTAACTAGTGAAATTTAGTCTATCACTACGTAAGTTTTGTACTTCGTTATTGAGCGCTAGCCAAGCCGCGCAGTGAAGGAGCAAAAGGGGAAGCGGAGCGCAAGACAAAATAGTAATAGCTGAGCGATGCCCCGCTTGTTTGAGCGGAGGTAAAGCGGATCGCATTGCTGTGCTACGTGTTGAACAGGTTACTGTCAATCGAGCAGAGGCGTTGCTTGCAGAACGCTTCCACGCTTGTCCGCTGCTACGCTGAGGAGACGAAATGAGCGGGCGAGCTGCCGCTCCGTAAAAAAAAAAAACTACATTGGTAAAAACGCTGGCTGTGCCAGCGTGCCGCGCAATTGGCGTCAACGCTCATACACTTGGCCCACTAAGCAGCTCAGCGGGCCCAGCGAAAGAGCGGAGACGTGAACTGCGCATGTGCGGCACGCTGCCAGAAGCAGCGTTTTTGCGGAGCGAGCCATGCACCCGCTCATTTTGGCGCAGCGCACTAGCAGGTGACAGGAGAGGAGAACTGCGCATGCGCACTCCGCGGAGCGAGCCACTGCCCCGCTCATTTCGTCGAAGGGTGCGCAGTGGACGAGCGTGTTCGTGATGACAGCCCCCATCGCGAGTGGCGGCGATGTGTTGCCAGCGACACCCCCAAGTACGGCGCAACTTTGACTGCGAGTAAAACAGACCCCGACGTTGTTTGACGACGGAGGAGGAGGATTTACCCATTTCAAGAGAATTCAAAGCGGTGGAGACTTCGTTGATAAAGTGGTGAGCTAGAAGTGCTGACGCGTCTTTTCAAAATATTGTAATTTAAAATAAACAAGGACGAAAGTAAACTTCCAAAAACATTTGGAGTTTTGCGCGTGTGTGTACACCAATAAGCCCCCAAAGTTCGCGGCATGCAAAATTAAAAAAAAAAACATACTTTCAGTTTGGTAGCATAGCTTTCAATTAGATTTTCCAGCATGTAGTAACTATTATCACTAATACAGTTACCCGCCAGATCACAAGTGGCAGTCTGTCTCGGCCGTGGCGGCCGCATTTGCGACGGAGGCGGAAATTGATTGATTTGTGGGGTTTAACGTCCCAAAACCACCATATGATTATGACAGACGCCGTAGTGGAGGGCTCCGGAAATTTCGACCACCTGGGGTTCTTTAACGTGCACCCAAATCTGAGCACACGGGCCTACAACATTTCCGGACGGAGACGGAAATGATGTGGGGTTTAACGTTCCAAAACCACCATATAATTAGGAGAGACGCCGTAGTGAAGTGCTCCGGAACTTTAGACCACCTGGTGCTCTTTAACGTGCATCCATATTTGAGCACAGGGACCTGCATAATTCTCACCTCCATTGAAAATGCAGCCGACACAGCCGGGATTCGATCCCGCGACCTGCACGTCAGCAGCCAAGTACCTTAGCCACCAAACCACCGCAGCGGGGTGAAGATCAAGGGCGTAGGCTGACTTTTTTTTTTTCTTTTCT